CTCAACTGGTGAACATGAGGTTGAATTTGTGTCAATTATTGGAGAGCTCGGCGAGGAATTAGGCATTATAGTATTAAAAACTATAGATCACTTAAAAGAGATGGAGCAGTCGAAGGAATGAGAGCTGGGGCGGGCGCCGGCCAGCTCATGGCGATATCACTTATAAAAATCTATTCTTTAAACATGGCTTGCATTTTATTTAATTATTAAGATAAAAGTATATTTTAAACACGTGTAGGTTTATGTCAATCTTTATTTCAGCGGTCACTTTGATTTCGCTACAGACTTCTTTTGCGGATGACGTCCCTCCTCCGGTCCGTTAATCTGTTACCTTAATTATTTATATTGCGTTTAGTAGTCCTTTTAAATTATTTGGTATATCTATATTTGTTATTTTGGCAAATAATTGCATTATACTACTATTCTGCATTATTTTTCTTGATGACAGCCTGTAATTTGTTTTTTTATCGCCGTGCCCATATTCTCACATTAACGATTATTCTTATATTATTTATTTTAACTTCATATTAATAGTTTCACCATCTTTCACACCTTGATTTAGGCAATTATTATTGCTTATAAATCTAAGCATTGTAAACATTTTTTATATCCGACCTCTTGAAGGCACTGGTTCCTATTTTACCAAGCTGCAGATGATGATGCTTTAAATACTTCCAATTCTGCTCCAGTATTACCTTCCAACGAATACGAGGAACGCATTTGTTGGCTATGCTACGTCTCCGAATCAGAATCCGACCCCATAAACCAAACAGGTTGGTGCCGGCCATGTTCTTGTCGTGGCGCCACAGGTTGGATACACCAATCGTGTCTTCAACGATGGATAGATGACCAGCAGCATGGAGATATATATGCAAAAGTTAACTGCAAAGTGAGCAAAATCATTCAAATGGGCATCAATTTGGTTTTAATTTAAGAGAACCTAAACTAGATTGATTTTATAATTTGCGAATCGTTTACTTCTAACATTTTTTGATTCATTTAATCGCAATATTTTCATGTCTGCTTGCAATATTAATACCTACTTCTAGTTAATCAGCTTTCTCACCCCCGGAAGCTATACGCGATTTTTTCCCTTTACAACAGCTTATGATTCAAACCTCATCCTTTAATCATGAGTGCTAACCCCAAGTTGATTAACTTATTGAAATCATACTTTTACTATGAAGTAGGATAAATTTAATTATATGAGATGTATTCACCCTATTTCGTATAAAGTGATGAAGGACTGGTTGTAGAATTTTCCCACGATTATATGAGCGTAGCTGACGTTTCCACTGAATTTCACATAGCCTTGCTTTCCAAAAATTTGTTCTTATCCAGAGTCTACTGCCTAGGTCTTATCAACACCCCAACCGAGGGTGGAACAATGACACTGTAGCGTGTAAGCTTGACACATTA